AAGACAAGGCAATGCAAGTCAGGGATTCAGTGAGCATCCAGTAGGCTCAGAGTGAATGAGCACTGTGGCAACAAGTGAAGACCCCCGAGATGTAGCCTGGTTCAATCCATGCGCTGGGTGCATGTCTCTGTGCACAGAGTCCCTGCAGCAGTATTATAAAGATAGTTACCAACGCAGCCCAAAATGCAGCATTGAAGTGCAGAAGTGTCCTGTAAGTGGATTAGAGATGTGCCATGAGCATTCTTGGAAGCTGTCGCATTTTGGATGCCAATGCCCATGAATGTGGGTTGCCTATGGTCTGTGGAGAGGACTCTGCAATGTTATCATCAGGTGTTCAATACGAAGGTCCTTTGGAACAAGCAGAGAGCTGAAGTCACCAGGTACCCTGCTCTGACCTGTTTCAGGGCAGCACATGCCTGGCCACTGTTAAGAAAGAATGAAGGAATATACCTTGGAAAATATACTAACCATTTATGATGTTGAAGGAGCGGAAAATAGTCTCAGCATTTCTTCCCCATCCAAAACAAGTCCAGTAATCATGACTGAGCAAAGTGGAAGAGTCACCATCAGTATGTTTTTCAAAGAATGAAGAATTATGAATGATTAGTTCCAAATTTAAACCTGACATTTGGAAATACATGTTCTTAAACACAGGTCAGGAGAAATCAAATAATTAGAAGATACAGTGCACAGTTGTTTGATGGGATTAATTAATTTTCACAATTACACTAAAATAGAGACATTAATTGACTATATCTATCCTGAGGTTAAATTACTTAATTCACATGGTGAGGTAATTATCTCATTCCCAACAGGAACACACCATCTCAATTAACACTGCAATTATTTTGCACATTTTATATCGGTCAGCATCAATCGCCATGAAATACAATGCTATTAATTCCCTCCAAAGGCTAATACGCAACTTGCGACAAGACACTATAAAATTTTATTTCCAGACATTTTCCTCAGTCTTCCAAGAGTTTCTTAAATCCCCCATCAACTGTAAAACCTGTTCCTACAATTCTTGGCTATAAGAAAATCTCGATGGAGACCAATGACTATTTTTATCAGAAATTCAGATTTCCAATTACTACCTGAAAGAATGACAAGATTTCAAGTTTTAAAACTTTTACTGCAACAAATTTTTTTTTAATTCACTTGGGACATGGGCATTGCTGACTGGGCTAGCCTTTTTTAGTCATCCTGAGTTGCCTTAAGAAGTTGGTGGTGAGCTGTTTTGTTGAACAATTGCAATCCATATGCTGCACACAGATCCACAGTGCTGATAGGGACACAGTTCCAGGATTTTGTCTAAGGACACTAAAGGAGCAACACCAAGCCTGGATGTTGAGTGGCTTGAAGGGGAACTTACGGATTTGATTTACAAAACACTATTGATGAAACACTACTTTCTTTTTGTAGGAGAATCCTTATACTTTAAACTACAGAAAAAAAGTTTCCTTTTATATGTATCACCCATCACACTTTCCATGGAAGTTCCACCATTTCCCCTTTTTGACTAGAGACTACCTCCCTCTTGTATTTGGCTACGTAGCTCACAAAGCCTTGTCTCCACTGAATGTACAGAACTGCAGCTGAATATTTGTGATAATCATTGATTTGTAGGGAAATCTGGAATGTGATTTCAAAAACGGCTTCTTCTGCCTTCTTCTCCATGGCAATGTGGAATACATTAACCTTGAATTCAGGTAGGAATGCTGATTAGATACCTTTGGTCCAAACTCTCTTTTATCTTAGAAGTTAATGGAAGGTACAACTCTTTACACCTAGTACCTTTCTGAGACTTTGAGAGACTGAGTGACTACCATTTGTCTCCAAGTGTTATCAGCTTGCTCCTTCTTTCTAATAAAATAATCCAAAAGTTTTGATTTCTGACAATCACACTGTCCAGGCTTAATATCAGGCAGACACCGGAAGAGGCCATATGACTCTTTAATTTACCCTAAATTGAAAACTACAGCCCCAAAGTTTAATAATCCCACAGGCCTCGAAATTCTAACAGAAAAGGAAAGAGCAGTCACGGAAGAAGAGTTATAGAGTCATAGAGATCTACAGCACAGAAAAAAGGCCTATGGCCTATTGCATCTGTGCTGGTCAAAGACAACCACCTAACTGTTCTAATGCTAATTCGAATTCTAAAATTGTTCCTGTCGGCAGAAGTATCAAAAATTAGAATTCACTGATTTCAAGAAGCAATTTGAGATGAAGAAAGGTTTTTTAACGTTAATGCTCTTCCTGAATGCATGCTTCAATAGAAGCCCTGAAAAGTGAATTGATTATCTGACGTGTATAAACTTGTATGACTACAGATTATGAAAAAAATGGGGGAGTGGAACTCGCTGAGGTGCTATTTTAGAGTTTCCACACATACAATGGATGGAATGGCCACCTTCTCTGCTGTAACACTCCTATATGTCTGTGGCAAGGTTTACTCGCTAGTGGCTTGTAACCATCACACAATGATACTCAAGTACGCTCCTGCAACATAATTATGAGATGTAGACCATGTAGTACTGAAGAATTCTGTGAACTTTTTTACATGTTCTGGTAGTTACATATCTACACTACAGTCATGGGCACTTGCTTTTCTGGGCACAAGCTAAGCAATAATGTAGAGTACCAGGTTTCCCTCAGCATGTCATGCTACAGGAGAGTAGAGGTCGAAAGATGGAGTCTGAAAGTTTTATACCATTAGGTCACAAGCCATGATATCATCCTAAACAATTTTAAAAGGTAGTTGTATACAGGTACTTGAGGATGAGAATATACAGGATTATAGGTATCATGCAGGAATGTATGCATAACTGAATTCATATTCAACAGGTTAAAGGGAAAGCAAATGGACTGTTGGCTTTTATTTTAAAGGGAATGGAGTATGAAAATAGGGAGCAAAAACAGAAATTGCTGGAAAAACTCAGCAGGACTGGCAGCATCTGAGGGGAGAAAACAGTTAAAATTTCAAGCCTAGTGACCCTTCATCAGAACACAGAAAATAGGGATGTCTTGCTAAAACTATACAAGGCACTCATCATACCACACGTGGAACTCTGTGGACAGTTTTGGCTCTGTATCAAAGGAAAGATATACTAGGATTACAGGCAGTTCAGAGTGGGTTCTCTACTTATTCTGGAAATTGAGGGACTTTCTTACAAGAAAGGATTGAGTAGCTTGGCCTATATGTATTGGAGTTTTTGAGTGGCAACCTGAATGAAGCAAACAAGATTCTTAGAGGGCTTGACAAGGTTGATGTTTACCCTTGTGGAAGAATCTAAGACCAGAGGGCATAATCTCAGAATAGGGGGTTATCTATTTAAATCAGAGATGAGGGGGAATTTCTTCTCTCAGAGCATTAGAGAATGTGTGGAATGCTTTACCAGGGCTGCAGAGATTGGGTCATTAAGGAAATCAAGCATTATTGGGATAACAGAGGAAAGTGGATTTGAGGATTGTCAGATTAGCCATGATTGCATTGAATAGCCTATTTCTGCTCCTAGATTTTATGCTGTGTCTAAAAGGCAAGACAAGCGTGATGGCCAAATGATCTCTTTCTTGCTATGATTTCTAATAATTTAGCTCAGAGTAATTAGAGATAACCACAACTGCTAATTACACCACTTAATAAAATTATTACACACCTCCTCCACTCCCAAGTCACTAATGGTCCATATGTTATGTAATAAGGTTCCAGAACAATATGCCTAAAGCAGCAGAAACAAAGATATTTTCTGACACACTTCTGGATGAGGTGAGGCTACTGGATCAGAGGTAGGGACATACCACTGCACAAGGCATTTGCAGAGACAATTATTTTATTTAACCTATTTTTCTAACCAATCTGTTCAGAGATGTTGTTTTACACTACTGGAGGAGATGGTACTTGAACCCAGGCCTCCTGAATCAAAGGTAGGGACATTGCCACTGCACTACAAGAGCCCTTTGCACAGATAATTCTTTTTTTCTAATTAACCTGCTCAGAGTTATTACATACCTCTGGAACAGGGAATCAAAGACTCCCTCCAGTGTGGGAGCAGCCACTGTTCATTTGCAGCCTCCTGGCTCAGAGATAGGGATAATACTACTGCACAAGGCCTTTGCAAAGAGAATAAAAATATTTTCCATTTCAATCTAGTCAGAGATGTTACTATACACCACTGGAGAAGGTGGAACTTGAACCCAGGCCTCCTGGCTCAGACCTAGAGACACCACCACTATACAAGGGCTTTGCAGAGAGAATAAAACGCTAAGCATTATCACTTCAAGGTTTTGAATTGTTAAAATTGGTGTCAACGCAGAAAATTCCCGGTGAATCTAAGTGCCCCGGGTGTTCACTTTGAGAAAGAGAAAACCGACTGGGGTGAGGACTCAATTCAGTTCGACTGATTCGAATGCATTTGGCTGTAACGCTGGGTAATGCACAGCAACTGATCTGTACTAAATAGTTCATGGATTGCTGGTACAACATGAGAGCTGCATCCTGCGACTGGTTCCATATCCTACAAAGTGAAAAGGAAAAAAAAAACACATGAACTTGTTGCCAAGTCTGAGTCATATAAGGACTGTGCACTATGGATGACATTCCCAGCGTCAAACAGAAACTGCTACGTGTAGACTTTTTCCTTTAAACGTGAAAGCTTCAGCTGTAGCTTGCAATGCTTTCGCCTTTTGTTTACACTGCTGTTTCCTTATGCTTCACCCGGCGTATTTCCTCACCAGGACTGTGGGAGTACACGCGCGATCTGCACCGATCTCTGCCTCTGCATTTTTAAGCCACACATATGTTAGCACTGCCAGGAGACACTTACAAGGATTCTGTTTTTATTGCGTTTTGAAAGCTTTGATGATGCGTTCGCGCTCTTTGAAGATGAGATCGTCACAGGACACAGTCTTTGGGTGAAATCTGGACTCTTTGATTATTCCTGATCGGGGACTCGAAGAATCAACCTGTTACATATTTCGAGTCACGGGGTTTCTTTTACTGTCGATTTTAGACGGACAAATCACTCTCTGTTACCGCATTAATGATGCAGAAAGTTTGTTAAAAAAAAAAGCAATTTAGACCTTCGAGAACGCTTTGTAGATCAAGAGTATACGTCGCCTAACTGGATTTGATATTAAATAAGCAGTGGAGTTTGGTAATAAATCCCAATGTTATTGCTATTCATATTGGTTACAGTATTTGGAGACTTTCGCCTTCATGGCACCAAAGCTCAAGGTGGATCTATTAAAGCTTTGCGATCCTCTACTATACAGAGAGATGGTAAGTTGCAGTTTTGCTTTAAAATTTTCGCATTAAAAGTTCGAACGTTAATGTTTTCTAGCTAATTATGTAAATTTGGGCTGTTCAGCGACTCCTGTTGGACTGGGTATCGTGAAGAAAATCCAAAAAAAATCTACAAAACTTTCTCTCTCTCTGTTTCCCCAAAGTACATACAGCAGCATTTTAAGATCTTGGCAGAACATTTAGTTTATCTCGCTGAAACGTTCCAACTCTTCCATTTTTAAAACATTTTATATTTAGTGCAGTCCTCGTGTACTTTGGGTTTTTTGACATATTTATTCGGGCTTTATTCGTTCATTATATTTTAGAACGAAGGCAGCATTTTTTAGGGCATCTTAAAAGATCTTTAACTGATTTACCATACAACTGGTAAATCTCGAAGAATAAGAAACAACGATGTGTATATGATCATCAAGAAATCTAAACAATTGGTAAATTAATGCATTTTAATGTTAGTCCCTGTCAGTTTCAGCAGAGTATAGAGGACAAGACTTTCTCAAATTCACAAACTTTTTTAAAATTAGTTTTCAAAAGTTTGTTTGGACAAAGGAGACACCGAACCTCGTGTTTACTAAACTTGCCTTGCTCCCCCCTGCAATGAATTATTGTGCTTTGGGTCATGAAATTTCAGTAGTGGAATAAACTGTAAGAAGAGCGGCTGGCCGTTGTTTTGGCTGAGGGCGGTTTGCTGCCGTGCCTGTCGTGTTAATGCTGACAGATGCGTGTCCATTGTGCAGGACTCTGGTTTCAGAGCACGCTGCCTTCCAGCAGCTGGAAGAATGTGTCAGCTTTTTTGGAGGCAGCGGGATTTATTACCCTGCGGGAAGACACATTACTCGGCACTCAGATCTGGAAGGAGCAAAGCATGACCTCATCAGTGCCATTGTATGCATTACAGTGAGAGAGGGAGGATCTATCTCCTTCAAGGCCACACTCTCATTTGCAGCGAGAGCAACGAGCTCGGCCAAATCTGCCTTAAAGGCACCGCGCTACACTGTCCTTCCACTTGCCCCCGTTTTAAATGGACAGGGGAGGGGGCGGGGCACCAGAACCCACTGTGACGTCAGTTGGCCGTGACGTCAACATGTCGTGACGTCAGCGGGCCGCGGATCCCAATCCCTCTTGATTCTGTCTTGGAGTTGGTGCATTTGCCAAGCGCCCTTCTCAGATCTTGCTTCAAGTAAACGAAAGCTGCTTGCAGGTCCTTTGTGTATATATATATATTTTAAAAAATAGAAGCTCACTTATTTGTGGTGCAGAAAATTCCTCTCCCTACCTTGCTTCCCACAGGATGTGCTGAATGAGGGTGCTGAAAGGGAAATCAGGAAAGAAAATAAATGTTTCAGAACTTCAGAAGAGATCTAAGAGTGAGATGAGGAGAAACCTCTTTATTCAGAGAGTTATTAGGATATGGAATGCACTGCCTGGGAGAGTGATGGAAGTGGATTCCATAGGAGGCTTCAAAAGAGAGCTGGATAAATATTTGAAAGGGATGAAGTTAGAGACCTATGGAAATAGGGCTGGAGAGTGGCACTAGCTGAGTCGTTCTTTTGGGTGATGGTACAGACATGATGGGTTGAATGGCTTCCTGTACTATGAAAATTCTGTGATTCTACTGCTGCAGAATTTCAGACTGTGGATGATCCATTAATGTCTGAAGATCCTGTTCTGAAATCTTACTGTGCTAAGCAGTCGTTGTTCTAGTAACTAAACCTTTGTGCCATTATCATAAATATCAGATGTCATTGAGTTCATTGATTCTATGGTCAAAAATGTTTCTTTTTTTAACCCAAGTCAGAATGTGGAAGTTAATTATAAGGGATATTTGTTACAAAATTACGATTTTGAGTTAATTCACAGTTGTAGTCACCAATTTATTTAAATTAATTTAATCTTATTTATTAAAATGATTGTAAATTGAATTCCAACATTAAAAAACATTCTTTATTAGTCCATGAATTAATTAAAATTGAGTTGTGCCTTTCATTTAAACAACATATCCTAAATTGCGCCACCTGCTATCAAAGTAATTTTTAACTTAAGTGGCTCACCTTCATTTAAACTGAGAATTTTCATGAGATAGTTGGGAATTACTCACTCGAAGAAAATCATGCCCTTTTTGATGTTTTAAAATTAATTTTGCAGTTCAGTGAGACCAAATAGGTTTGCTGGTAACTTTTGAATTAATTCTGGGTATCCATATCAATCTCTTTTAGTTCCTGGACCTATTTTCCAATGTGCTGGAAGAAAATCTTTGAGAAAAGTTGTGATAAAATGCACCTAATTGTAGTTGAAAGTTTTAGAGGAAGAAAAAATGTCAGGCAATAAACAGCTGACTTTATTTCTTTTAATTATTTTGCTTCACTAATTTCCTTCCTTAGCCACACATCTCCTGAATTTGTCAAAACAGGAATGGAATTCTTTTCCCAAACCCTCCACTAATGCTGCTTTTGGTAAATGCTCAAATAATTGAGAGAGCAACTCAGTGAGGAGTACACATTTCATTTTACTTATCACTGCCCACTACCACCACTATACCCTGTCTCATAGGAGAGGCTGGGAATGAAGTAATGTGAAAGATTGAACCTGTGTCTCAGTGAAACTTGCCACAACAACTTGCAGTTATACAATATGAAAACAACATATTTTCAGTTTCTGCAGTAGTAATAGAAAACTGCTGGAAATATATTGTGGAGAGAAACCAAGTTAACATAGACTTGAAAGATTAACTCTGTTTATCACCACAGATGCTGCCAGACCTGTTGTGTAATCTTAGTTTTTTTTTGCTTCTGTTGATTTTATACAACACCTGTAACAAATTATATCATCCTAAGACACTTGAGGAACATCAAATAAAATTTTACCACCAAACCTCTTCAGCAGATAACAGGAGTAAATATTTTGTGAAAAACATGGATTTTAAGGAAGATTGGCAGATATGAGGCGGAGAGTTTGAAGGAGAGAATTGACAAGTTTATGACCCGGACAGCTGAAGGCAGGATTGTCTATAATGGGGAAAAGAAAATCAAGGATGTATTAGAGGTCAGGCTCAGAGATGTGCAGATATTTTGAAGGATTATAGGGCTAGAGAAGGCTGCAGAGAAATTAAATGCTCAGATTTCAGAGGGATATAAAACAAAAGGTGAGGGTATTAAAATTTAGGCATTGCTGGATCAGCAGGCAATGCGGATTACACTAGACCACTATAGTTGTTGGGGCACAAATGTTATGAGTACCAATGCAATGTACATGTTATTTATGGAGAAGGTTAGAATTGTAGAAAAAAAACTTTTCAAAAATGTGAGGTTTTGCTGTGTTCACACAGTTACCATTTAGTAAATTGTAATGCATAGAATCCCTGCAGTGCGGAAGCAGGCCATTTGGCCCATCAAGTCCACACCAACCCTCCAAAGAGCATCCCACCCAGACCCGTCCCCCCCACTAGCCCCATAACCCTGCATTTCCTATGGCTAACCCACCTAGCCTGCATATCCCTGGACACTATGGGCAATTTAGCATGGCCAATCCACCTAAACTATACATCTTTGGACTGTGGGAGGAAGCCCACACAGACACAGGGAGAATGTGCAACTCCACACAGACAGTCACCCGAGGCTGGAATCAAACCAGGGTCCCTGGCTGTGAGGCAGCAGTGCTATCACTGAGCCATCATGTCATCCAAGTGCCCAAATAGCCAACAAGGACAAAAATTACTGCCAGCAGCTTCCCCACAAACTACCAGCAGCTCCTCTGTATCCTCATATGTTCAGACATTGCCCTCCAAAAATTAAGTCATCTCCATCCTTTATGATGGAGGATAAGTCAGTGTTAAAGAAGATAACATTGGTTAAGCCTAGGATCCAACCCTAGAATTTCTGTAGCTATGTCCCAGGGCTGAGATGATTGGCCTTCAATAAACACATTCTCCTTTGCACCCCTCGATCTGCATTCACAGTAGATCAGTTCATGTTTACAATATCTTATAAAATTATATAACTGAATTGATCTGCAGCCCTATAAATGGAATTCAAGCCATATTTACATAACCTGACGTCTTAATATAAACCCTTACACTTTTGTGTCATTTTGCTGAATTTGAATTAGACCTGGATGCTTGATCAATTGAGATATTCAACACAGAGATTGCGTGATTGTTGTGAAGCTGAGGGTATCAATTATAGGTGCAAGCCAGGTCAATCGTGTTAACACGGTATATAGGTTAACCATGATCTAACTGAATTCAGAAGCTGAATCCAACCTGATGCATGGTACCCAAAATTGAATTCAGTACCCCAGACACGTTTTGACCAATGCTCTTTACAGCTGAAGCGTCAATTCTTTGCAATTGTCTTCCAGTCTGCTTGTGGAAAAAGCAAAATTCTAAAAGCTATTTTTTGTAGTACCTTTGTACTTGCACATAGACATTTTGGCGATTTGTGGAAAAAGTTGTCCTCCACAGTTTCTCATCTCTCAATATTAAGAATGTATTCCTATTGGGCATTTTTGTTTGGATCACAGTGGATGACCTCACACTTCCTCACATTGAGTTCCAAACTAGCAGTTTTGCCCATTCAATTAATCTATCTGTAGTATTATAACTTCTTGATCCTCTATAAGTATATCCTCCTTTTTAAAATCAATGTCATATGCAAGAAGAAATGAGGAACTCTGTTCTTCAACAAATTTATAATTGACTCACCATTGTCCACATTGTTCAATACCAGGGAAAATTCAGCCTAATGAATTGTTAAAACTGAAACTCAGTCAACTTTCTTGGGCCATGCTTACATTTGGTTCTGATAACTTGGGAAGAAATGTTTTGTTTTTGAATTGCGCCAGAATAATTCATTTAGATGAGGATTTTTTTAAAAAATCAAGTAAAATTTTGATGCATAAAGCTTTTTTTCTAGTTTTTACGAAGTGTAATAGGCAGTGGCAGTCTCAAAGGCTCTTTGTGTAGATCAGCATCATTTGTAACT